AAAAAAAAGATTTATTTATTTGTTCATACACAACTGGGGTACAGGCCAGAGGTGCAGGGGCAGTGAGAGGATTCACTGGAGACAGAGTGGGGAGCAGAACAGGCAGATCATTGAAGTACACTGCTGAGGGGAGCAGCAGGTGGGTCAGGAGAGGTCTGCTGCACCATGTGGGTCACCTCCGGGGGAGGCGGGGTTCAAACTCATGCGGAAGTGGCTTTAGCTTCTCAGTGCTGTGCTTTAACCCGCTGCGCCATCAGGGAGGGCCTATGTACTATTACTTTTAATGTCCACTGGGACTAACATCTCAGTGAGGGTCTGTTCTGTGCCAGGACTATGCTCAAGCCAGGGTGTAGTATTGACCTGAACTTAGAGATATCAGCAAATCACGCCATAGCATAGATTTACCATCGTTTAAGTTACCCATATTTTGGGTCATTCAGACTTACTAGAAAAAGGTTAGGAATATCTTTAGAGAATGGACTTTTTTATATATTCCTGAATATGTTCCTAGGATACGTATCTCCCTAAAAGTTATTTTAGGGGTAAAAGCATGAGGTAAAAACTAAGGAGATCTGAGTCAAGTGTCAACTTTAATAATGCATCATGTCAGCCCAGGTCAGGGATATAGATGTATATTTTATCAAGTTTGTTGTTACAGATTGTTAAAAAAGTTCTTTTGATCATGTATTATAATGTGTAAATATGATAAAATATAATGTAAATTGTGAGACAGTCTGTTTTCCTGGGTCTTCACTTTCCACCCTAGGTTACTATACAACAGTCGGATAAGTAAAAAAAAAATTAAAATTTGTATGTCTTTGAATTCTAATGAACTTGAGCTTATGTTCCTTTCCAAAATCCTTTTTTGTTTTTTGCCCATTTAATGGTGTAAGTCCAGTGTCAGTGGCTTTGATGTAATCATACAACAGTGTACCTATTAGTACTTCTTAATCCCAGAAATCTTCATCACCATAGGAAGAAATCCTCTCCCCTTTATTGGTGACTTTCCATTCTGCCCCTTCTGCAGCACCCTGAGCCCCAATCAACTGCTAATCCGCTTGCTAGCTCTTAAAGGATTTGCCTATTCATGACATGAATTCTTCCGCTTTGTGTAATACTTTTGATGTTTCATTTACTTTGGTATATATCTGTTCTTACTCCTTTTTACTGCTAAGTATTATTCCACTTACTGGATACTGTATTTTTTTTTATCCTTTCATCAGTTGGCAGACATTTGGGTTATTTCTACCTTCTGGATTTTATGAAGAATGTTTCTGTTAGCATTCACATACAGATTTGTGTGTGGATGTATATTTTTGGGGTGTATACTTAGGAGTGGAATTGCTTGCTCATTTGTTAACTCTATGTAAACAAGTTGAGGAACCACTTGGCTGTTTTCCAAGGTGGCTGCACTATTATACAGTTTCATGAGCAATGGTTGAAGGTTCCAGTTTCTCTACATCCTCAATGTTGACTGTTATTGTTGGTCTTTTGCGTTTAGCCTTGTAATGGATGTGAAATGCTATGTCATGTGCTTTTAGTTTACATTTCCATGATGTCTAGTGATGTGGAACATTTCTTGTGCTTAGTGACCATTATTCTACACCTTAGTGACTGCTGCAGTATGTAGCCTCTGAGTATGAGCCTGGGTTTCAGTTATGTTAAGTTAATAGTATCCTACTTCTAGTTCCCTACTATTTTTAAATTAATCTCTTTTGAGTTATTAAAGTAATAAGTGAATAATAGGCATTTCCAAACCCTGATTGGTCCATGATATGTCTTTCTTTTACTCCTCCGCTGACTTACTTTGTTAGTACTTTTATTTATGATCCCTTGTCCTAATCTCATGTTGCTTTGGAGAAAAATCAAATCCCTAATCTTACATTGCTACCTTCATTGCATCTCCAACTTTGGTCCTTGTCACTACTAAGCTTAAAACTAGGTCAGCTGTGTGGTAAAGGAGTCTTCATACATTTAGCGTATATTTTTCAAACAGCAAAGGATAGTTACCTGATGTGTTTTTAAGCTTCGTACTTTAGAAACATTTTATATTTACAGAAAAGTTTCTAGTATAGTTGAGAATTAGAGTATATTTCACACCCAATTTTTCCTGTTACTGACATTTTGCATCATTATAGTACATCTGTCCCAACTGAAGAGTTGACATGATTCATTATGAAAGTCCACATTTGTTTCTGATCTCCTTGGTTTTTGTCCCATACTCTTTTTCTGCTTAGAATCCCATCTAGGAAGCACATTACACTTTGTCACTGTGTCTCTGCAGCCCTTCTTGGTTGTGGTGGTTTCTCAGAATTTTTTGGTTTTGATATCAACAGTTTGAGAAGCAGTAGTTTGATGGAGTGCTAGTTTGGTTCTTCAGGTTAAATTTATTCTTTTGTGGTTAGCCTGGAAAGGAGCTGTTGTCATCATGCATGGCACTTGGCAAGACTCACATGGGTGAGTTGCCAGATCACCTGGCTTGAGCATGTCTGCCAGTTTTGTGCACTGTAAAGTTACTCTCTTCCTTTCTCTGCTGTACTCTGGAAGGAAGTCGTTAAGTGCCAGGATCAGGAGTTACCTCTTCCTCCTTTAGAATCATCACATACTTATTTAGAGATTTGTGTCAACCATTTTGTTATATCAGTATGGGCTCATGGATATTTATTTTATCCTTTCATTTATAATCAGTAATGTTATTTATTTTCTGGCTCATTTTTAAAATTTCAGTCATCGCGCATTTTCAGCTCACCTGTTCCTTTGTTTTTAGGCGGCATGGTCTCCAAGTCCTAGAGTAGACCGCTCGAGTCCCTGTGTATCCAGGTTTGCTCACTGAAGTATGCCCTCAGAGCCCCATTGTCCTTTTGACCTGATACTTGTCTGCCTTTCTGATCTCTTTTCACTCCACTTACTGACTGTTGAGGCTTAGTAGTTTCCTGGATGGTGACAAGAAGTTCAAGGGTAAAACAGTGTGACCTGTAGTGGGTGCTTTGTGGTGTGATTTGAGGCAATATTATGAGGGTGAATCAAATATAAAATATTAGAGATATTCAGATTCTTTAATTCAGAGAAATGTATAATTTTTCTTGACAATTATGAAAGGACTTAAAAATTTAAAAATTACATTTGTATGGACTTTAAAAAGTGCTTTGTGCTTTTAATCTCATTCGTTTTTTAGGAAATTCCTGTGAATCCTTTTATGTTTTTAATAAGAAAGGGTCTCAGGAAGATAAAATGATTATTCTTAGGTCACTTAGTTGATATCAGCAAATCGAGACATTAGACACAGTTCTTGTCCCTATGTGCCAAATCCTGAATTCTTTATAACTGCATTGTAAATAAGGAAACTTTTTCCTGTGATTAGGCTTCTCTCAATTTTTGTAGTTTCTTTAAAGATATGGGCTTTTGAAGATACATAGAGCCAATCTGCTTGATTTGATGTCTTTGGGTTATTGTTAATAATATATCGATTCTTTAAAATACAATAATTTGAGAAAAGACTCTTGGATTTTGGGAAAGAATGAAAACTCCAGTTAATTCCAGAGTCAGATTCAGTCCATGTTAAAGCTACAATTTTGCTGTGGCTTAGAGTGCCAGTAGGTGGCATGAATGCACCGCAAAGCTGTTTCTGAAATATTTATGTGTTTCTGGCATAAACTATAGTTTTTGAACATTAAAATGTCAGTGTGAACATGAATTTTGGGACACTTATGATAATGGTCAGCATCGCTACTTTTTTTGCTTCTTACATGAAAAGCTATAACACTTAAATTTTTTAAATGGTACTTTTTAAAATGTGTCATTAAACATGGTTTCTTTAAAGAATGTTTTAAAAGAAAAAAATTGCCACAGTCTCACATTTCTTCCTTTGTATATGTATACTGTGTATATGTGCATTTATTTCATGTTACCATAATGTGAATATATTTTATGGTTTTCTTATGTAATTATCCATATTTATCACAGTCAGAGTTATCGTAACATTGTTTATTTTTTCCTTCAAGGTGATAGCCCAATTTTGATATGTTTTCTTTTCATGGG